CCAGGTAATGATTTGGTAATTCTTACTACACGATATACTTTTCCCGATCCACCACTTCCGATCACATTATTTTCAGTCAAATTTGACAAAATGTCTGACTCTTTGAAACTCAAATTCAATTTCTGATAGTAAGTGAGCTCCCACTTGGAATCCGATTCGGGGCCCTTTTTCCTGCAAGTTTTAATTAGGAAGAATGTGAATAGCATAGCTGATGCAAGTAAGACTGTTGCTATACCTATGATTATAGCGAGAAGCCTGGAGGATATTTTGCTCGAGTTTTCAAATCTAGAAGAGCAGATCTCAAGGCCGAGTGATGGATTGCTTGCACAAAGACCGGTGTTGTTCAAGAAGCTGGCATTGAAAAAATTATTTTCAAACTCAGCTGGGATTTTTCCAGTGAGACAGTTGGAAGACAAATTGAGGGAAGTTAGCTTTAAAAGGCCAATCTGAGTTGGAATTTGACCTGAGAACTCATTCCTTGACAAGTCCAAATCAGTGAGTTTTAGTAAAGAACCAAGTTTGGCAGGAATTGAACCCGAGAGTTGGTTTCGACTGAGATTCAGAGTGGTCAGCGACATCCATGAGACAATATCTGATGGAAGATGACCGGAAAATAGATTCCCATCGAGCAGCAGAGTTGTCAATTCAGAAAGTGTTGTCAATTCTTGGGGAATTGTACCAACAAAGAGGTTGTTACTTGCACTGAACACTGTTAAATGCTTCCAAGAAGACAACCCAGTTGAAATTTCACCGGAAAACTTGTTATTACTGATCTCGAGTCGTATTAAACTTGGGGCAAGTGTTCTTGGAAGCTGACCAGTAAAGGAGTTATCGCTAAGCATCAACAATGTCAGATTGGTTGATGTCCAGAGACCAGCTGAAATACTGCCAGAAAGGCGATTACCATTAACCCGAACAATCAACAAACTCGAACAATTGCCAAGTGAGTTAGGCAATTCACCACTCAAATTGTTATCATATGCCGCAATTCCTATTAGTCCACCATTAGCGCACAAGTACTCCGGCACCTTACCAGTGAAATGGTTCTGGGCGACTTCAAACCCCTGAAGAATGGAATATAGCCCCAAGTCCGGTGACAACGTTCCAGAGAGATTGTTGCTGGACAATGTTAAATATCTCAGTGACGGGAGGCGACTAATGCTTTCCGGTATCTCCCCCGAGAGTTGATTGGAAAATAGAGACAAAACTGACAACTCTGTTAGTGTACCAAAATCATCCGAAATTGTTCCTGTTAAGTTGTTTTCGGATAAATCGAATTCCTCCATCTTCAAAGCTTCAATGGGCTGAGGAATTGGCCCAGACAAGTGATTTTTGTAGAGATATACTATTGTTAAATTCTTCAGCAGAAGCAAACCACTCGGAATTGTACCAGTCAAGTTATTGTTTGACAAGTCCAATTCCTCGAGCTCTGCTAAATTCCCAATTGTTTCCGGGATTTCACCGATCAAACTTGAACCTTTGATCAATAGTTGTTTTAGTTTCCTCAACTGGGTAAAGGTGGATGGTATCACCATCGGCGCAAATTCATTGTCCGACAGCTCCAGCCATTCGAGCCTTGACAGGTTGCCAATTTCTGGCGGGAAAGAGCCGTTAAACAAATTTAGAAAAAGCCGAAGGTTTGTGAGCTCGGGGAACCGCCCGATGGCTGCTGGGATATCGCAGGTGAAGTTGTTGCCGCTGAGGTTGAAGGTCCGGAGATGAGTCGACAACCGGTCAACATCGCCTGGAATGCAGCCCACGAACAAGTTTTGGGAGAGGTCTAAATGTTCAAGCTTGGTACAGTTGTAGAGAGCCGTAGGGAAGGGTCCGGGGATGTAATTGTACTGGAGATCAATGGTGGTGAGGTTTTTGAGGTCACAAATGAACGGTGGGATTGACCTGGTGATGGTTTTGTCGATGAGGGAAAGTCCGGTGACGGAGCCATTGGAGCAGGTGATCTCAGGCCAATTACTGTGGGTGGAGGAGTTGGAGTTTGGTGGTGATGGTGTCCAGTGGTTGATGGAGGGTGGATTGGACCAGTGTCGTTTGAGTCTGAGTAGGATTGTTTGTTCTGAATCAATAGATTGGGAGTTTCCATGCAAGGGCAGGATGAGGAGTGGGAGGGCGAATATGGAGAGAAGGATTTGGAAAAATGTTGTTGGGGCTATTTTGGACATTTTAGAGGTGGGTTTCGCGGGTTTTTTTGGGTGGAACGTACCTTGGGAAGTGCTGGTGGTCGGTATTTCATAACTTGAAGCTGCTGGTTGGTTTTATAATGTTATCAGTTGAACCAGAGTCAAGTTTTGTCAATGGCTAAAGAGACAAAACTTGACCGTCTGTGTTACGGCGAGCAGTTTGATTTTGATTATTTGAATAGTTAATTTTATATAAAGTGTTTTTTTATATATTATTCATAAAAGAAATTAAATTTATTGATAATCGTAATTTCTTTTTTCTTTTTTCTTTTTTTTTTTGACAAATATGTTTTTCAAAAGGGAATAGTTACAACTTTGATTATGACCTGCAGAGGTGTTAGTTAAGACTTGATTGTGAGTTGGTTATACATATTGTGATATTAGTTATGACTTAGTGCCACTACAAGAAATAAGGGTTTTTGCGACGTTTTTTTAATGGCGTTTTCTTAAACGTCATTTTATTAATATTTAGCGACGTTTTAAAAACGTCGCATATTTATTTAATTAAAATGACACCGTTTTATGATCAAAGGCGTTTAAAAGCGCCTCTAAATGCGGTACGTCACACGAGCCTATTTTGAATCTGGGCATAAAACATGTGTAATCCCTCAGGTCTTCAGACATAAACATTGAATCCTCGCGTCGCCTCTCTCTCTCTCAATCCTCTCTAAACCCTTATTTTGAATCACATTCAAATCTCACAAATTCACCGATTTCGAAGCTCCACCTCCACCACCATCTACACCGGCGAGGTAGCGAGATTCATCGATTCACTGATTTCAGATCGATCTGCACCGCCACCGCAATTTCGATTCAGATCGGTCTGCACTGCCACCCCGATTTTGATTCTCTCTCTAGATCTCTCTCTCTCTCTCTCTCTCAGAGATTCATCTTTGATTTCACCTCAGAGCGATTTCGATGTCTCTCTCTCTCTCGATTTCAAAACTCCACCGCCACCACCATCTATGCAAGGTTCCATGACTTAGCACCTCATGTCCTTATCTCTTCCACTTTGTATATACATATACATATATGTATATTTATCGATTCTCTCATGTACATACATGTATCTGTATAGACACCGATCGATAATGGAGCAGAGCTTCTTCGATTTGATCTATTTTCTACACTGCCCAGGCCTCACCGAGACATTTCTCGACATTTTGCTCTCCTCAGTCCCGATTTGGCTTGCTGTCATGATCAGCCTTGTTATTGGCTGGTCCTGGCGCCCTAGATAGATCGGTCTGCTTTATCTCGGTCTCCGCTCCAAGCTCTGGTTCGCCTGGACCGCGCCGCTGCGGGGCTTGGAGGTTCTGGCTTGCCTTCCCGGCATTTTCGATTGGTCGGAGACTTTGGTCTAGGTTCATTTGGAAGGGAAAGGACAGTTCTCCGGTCGCGACAGCACAGCTGGTCGAAAGTGGCGGTGACGTCAGGTGAGAACGGTTTTGAAATTTGGTTTTTCATTTATCGAATTGTTTATTAATGACTTTATTTATATATGCATATGTGTTTGTGTATCTGTTATGAGAATTAATTTAGGGTTTTTGATTTAAGGCTTCTTGGTGATTGTATGCAATTTGATGTCTTGAATTGATTAGGGACTGTGCTCTAAAACCTTATTTGTTAATAATGAAACTAAATCTATGATAATTATGTGATTAGGGCTTTTATGTTTCTAAGCTTGGCATGAATTTATTTTTAAAGTATGCAGGGAACAGTATGGTCTACGGTGTGTGGGGCTGCTATACGCGGTTATGTCGTTGAAATAGTTGGAATTTTTGGATAATGTGTGTTGGTTTGTGGCATCCATAGTTAAGGTAACGATTTTTTCGCAGCATTACTGGTTTCGTAGTATGCCCTTGGATTTTCTGTTTTATGTATAGAACAATGTAGTTGACGTATTGATTTATGATTGTGTTGTCGACATTCGTCATTGGTTACGTTGATAGCTGATATAGTGGTCCACTTAACATGTTGCAATGCCGGCGCTAGAGAGTCATAGAGTTTGTTAATTTTACTTCTATTGGTTAATATATTTTGGGAAAATTTTGTTTTTTGCAGTCGAGGTTTTGTGTCTTTTTGAGTTCTTGGCAGCCCTTCACGTGTTAGGTTTATGTGTACGGTTATTTTAGTAATCCAGTGGCGGTTTGCCACTGACAATGAGGTTACTCCATTTATAACGATATGGTATCTTTGAAAATCCAAACATGTGGAATGACACTTGGTATTATTTAAAAATAAAAAATTGAGGACTAATCCACTAGAAGGAAATTGCCAATTATCACATCTTGGTTGTGTTTGAAAATTTAAACTATATTGAACCACAAAGTGGAGGGTCACTTCGTTATGTTGTGGTTGCAAAGTTTCGAAAGTGTCTCCAAGTCAAGTTTTCTCACTAATTAGTATTGACAAAAACAAATGGTTGGGGCACCTAACTTAAGCTTTACGAAGTCTAGTTAGGGATATATAAAACATTGACTTTGTGGTTTAGGGAGATTGAGGTTGTCTATATTTGTAAGAAGCTACTGCATGCACGGTAGAAGACATTTACCTAAGCCTATCATTTTGGTAACTTTCTTAACTTAGATTAGGAAACAGGGGATTGCTGTGTCCTAAGAAAATTATATATATATTATTATTATTTGGATTACCACCAGTTATGTTTATAAACTTTTGAACCTTAACTTACTGGACATGTCACCATATTTTGACTTTTTTTTTAGCAGGCTTAACACAGGAACCTCACAGGTAGCAAATGTTGTGGTAGAGAAAGATCTAGAACACCTATTGCAACTTATTGAAAACAAGGGTGGGAAAATGGAGTGACAGAGTATAATGGAACACTCCACCTCAAACTTGACATACCAAGCTTGGCGCCATGATCTTGAGGTACAATTTGACCTTGACTTTGTAAGATTTGTATTTTCTGTGTGCTGGAGAAATCTGTGGGAATTACTTACATGGATTTTGACCTTTGTTTGATGCATGTATTGTCTTTCAAGTGCTGGAAAAGTGGGCCCAAGTCTTGGCATTTGCATGATAGTTTAATTAGAGTTTTTCATTAGTAATAGGAGACATAAATTCTAAAGAAGCAAAATTCTCATATTAAATATGAATTGACTCGGATATGGATATGGGATAATAATCACAATTCACACATGCATCCATTTTCTTTTTTCTATGGAAAACTGGATGGATTACACAGCTTGACTAATTAAACAATAATAGTGAAAGATTGGTAAAGAGAGAGAGAGAGAGAGAAAAGAGAGAGACTGAAATGAGAGATTGATATATACAATGTCTGCTATTGTATTTTTGTATATTTACAAGAGAATGAGCTCTCTCTCTTTATAGAGAGGAGAAGGGGACAATGGAGCACCGAAATCATAAGACAATATTAAAAAAACAATATAAAAGTGAAAGTGTGTGGTAGTGGGTTTACAGCTACAAATGCACTATGATGTATATTGGGTTTACAGCTACAAATGCACTATGATGTATATTGTATGTTAACAGCCCCCCGCAAACTCAAGGAGGGTAGGCATCGACCAAGTTGAGTTTGGAAACAAGATCACGGAAGCGCCCAGGAGGATGAGCCTTGGTGAAAATATCAGCAGGTTGATCGGCAGAAGCAATAGGGAGAAGATGAACAGTACCACGTGTAACATGCTGTCGAATGAAATGACAATCAATCTCAATATGCTTGGTGCGATCATGAAAAACATCATTGTGAGCAATCTGAATGGCACTCTGATTGTCACAATAAAGAGAGGTAGCGCCAGAAGAGGAAACACCCATATCAGTGAGGAGCCAGCGAAGCCAGAGAAGTTCCTGAGTAGTATCAGCAAGAGCTCGGTATTCAGCTTCGGTGCTAGAACGGGCAGTGAGGGATTGTTTCTTGCTACGCCAAGTAAGAAGAGAATCCCCTAAGAAGAAACAGAATACCATGGTGGAGCGTCGATCCGTAGGATCCCCAGCCCAATCAGCGTCAGAAAAGGCACGCAGTTCAAGAGAGGAGGAAGCAAAGTAGTGAAGGCCATGGAACAGAGTGCCTTTGAGGTATCGAAGGATGTGGAGTAGAGCAGTATAGTAGGGAGTGCGAGGAGCCGACATGTACTGACTAACAATGTGAACAGCATAGGCAATGTCAGGACGAGTCACTGTGAGATAGACAAGACTACCGACGAGCTGGCGATAAAGAGTAGCATCATTGAGGAGAGCCCCATCGAGAGGAGTACGACGAATCTGAGGATCAACTGGAGTAGATGTAGTTTTGCAATCAGTAAGACCAGCACGAGCCAGAAGATTGGATGCATATTTGGCCTGAGATAAATAAGAACCAGTAGAATCATGAGAGACTTCAAGGCCTAAAAAGTAGTTAAGAGTACCAAGGTCTTTCATCTCAAACTGACGGTGGAGAAAACGTTTGAGGTGGAGAATACCACCTGCATCATTACCAGTGATAATCATATCCACATACAGAAGGAGAAGAGTGGTACCATGAGGAGTAGTCCGTATAAAAAGAACAGAATCATAGGAGCTAGAGGTGAACCCGAAGTCATGAATGGTAGAACTGAACTTAGCAAACCAAGCGCGGGGTGCTTGCTTGAGGCCATAGAGGGCACGCTGTAATTTGCAAACCTTATGAGGGGGAAAAGTAGACCCAGGTGGAGGTTGCATGTAGACCTCCTCAAGAAGATTACCATTGAGGAAAGCATTTTTGACATCCATTTGAAAGAGCTCCCAGTGGCGAGCAGCAGCAACAGCCAGTAAACTGCGAACAGAGGTAAGCTGAGCAACAGGGGAGAAGGTTTCCTCATAATCAATCCCATATTCCTGGTTGAAACCCTTGGCAACAAGACGAGCTTTGTAACGTTCAATAGAGCCATCAGAATGAGTCTTGATTTTGTAAACCCATTTGCAGCCAATCGCAGTTTTGCCAGGAGGAAGATCAACAAGATCCCAAGTATGAGTTTTGTCCAAGGCTTGAAGTTCATCAGTCATAGCTTGCTGCCAAAGAGGATTAGTACAAGCCTCACGATAGGAGGTAGGTTCATAAGTAGAAAATGCAGCAGACCCAACAATATAATCACGA